CCCAGCGCCAGCCATACTTCACTGCAGGCTGAGAATATCGTGCTGCAAAACCCACAGGCTCCGGTTGTTTGGTTTGCGGTTTAGAGATCTCTAGAAGTGGGTGGAATAATCTTGAATCTCCATGGTGACGTTTGGCGATGCCTTGCGCGCTTCTCCCGGGCACCGAGTCAGCAGCACCGCAGGACCTGGGGGCAGGTCACTTAGCAGCAGCACGCCTAGCAGTTGTTGGGGTTTTAACAAAGTTAATAGTTTGCTAAATCAAGGCTGGCCTTTGCCAGGGTCCCCCCCCCCCGCCCCGAGAAAATGAGGAGGCTTAAACTGGTACCAACATAACCTCGCTTATCTGCAAACTCGCTGCTTCGTGGCAAATTTGTGATGTGCGAGTCCTCGCGCTGCTGCTGTGGGCTGGAACAGAAATCCTCGGGAACTGAGCGTTCCCCCTCGTGCTTTCTGCTAACACCGTATATCGTTGTGCAGGGACAACGCTCTCGCTTAGAGCGAAGGTTTCTTGCTGAGCGGTTGGGTTTGTTGGGAAGAGCAGAGCCGTGCGCTGGCGCAGAGATGCGTTACGCAGGTTAATCCACTCGAGGGATTTTCTAGGAGGATCTGTTTTCCTGTGTGACAGTCTAAAAATGTCAAAGCCCTTCCAAAAATGCTGCTCATCCAGAATAGCAGCAGCTAGTCTGGAGAGGCTGAAGTAAACACTTGTTCGGAGGATTTAATACCAGCGCCGGAGCTGTGCGTACCCACAGCCGTTTGCAGGCAGCTTCCAGGTAGCTGAACGCTGCGTGCTGAGGCAGCGCAGTAGCTGCTGTGCACGGGGAGAGATCTATGCGGTGGCCCCCGATGGCTGCAACTGGTTTTTACTGGTTATTAACATCGGAGGGGTCTTGCACGCATCAGCCTGACAAGCGTCGTCGTGGAAAAGGGTGAGGGGCACGAGCCTCTGCCGGGGTTAGGGAGGGCATCGGGAGCGTGCTGTGCGGCGGAGAGCTGAGCTACAAAGAGCCTCCAGCCACGCGGTGAAACGTCACCTCTTTTTGAGGAGAAAATATATCCCGCGCCAATGAATTTTGTCGTCTCGTGCTGCCAGTGACCTGTGTTCGTGTTGGGTTTTTGTTCGTGAAGGGGGAAAAAACGCGGCCCAGCAGGGCTGAGTGTTC